CCTCCTCCCTCAGACCCAGGGTCCAGGCCCAGCCTCCTCCCTCAGACCCGGGGGTCCAGGCCCAGCCTCTCCATTGGCCCTCATGGCGGCTGCGGCTTGGTCTCTGTGTCTCTTGCAGAAATGCCAGGCAAGCAGCCTGTAGAAGGGCCAGTGGAGGCTGGGGCTGCAGAAGATGGCACTGAGGAAGGACTCGGGGGCCTCACCCCAGAGGAACTCCAGCAGGGCCAGGAGGCCGCCCTGGCCCTGGAGGACATGATGGCACTGAGCACCCAGACCCTGGTCCATGCTGAGGTGGACCAGCTCTACCAGGAGGTGCGTCCCCTGGGCCAGGGCCGGTATGGTCGCGTCTTACTGGTCACCCATCGTCAGAAAGGTATGGGGACRGGACAGCATCCTGGGGACGGGCTGGGGAGCCACCCAGGCTGTGGAGTTGGGTGACAGTCCAATGTGGGCGTCCCAGGAGCTCCTTTGGAAAGAGGAATGTGTGCTGCCCTCTGACCTCGAGCAACGCCCCCCTCCTGGCCCCAGTGGATGCCCAGAACCCTGAGCGGCCCTGCGCCCGAGCCTGCGATGCTCTTTCCTGTGCGTGCAGACTGTGGTCGGGTGGTTTACCATGTYGGCACAGTCAGGTGACCAGTAGTAACTGGCATTCTCTGACTGTCGGCATCACACTCGTCAATAAACAGTGTTACTCGAACACAGCGGCAGCCATGTTAGTCTACCTGATGCCCGAGATGGCCACTGAGTGTCCGGTGGATGGGGGAGTAGCGGTRTGCACCTGCGGATGATGTGCCATGGGGACTCAGTGCACCATCTAAAACCCTTCAAGTTTCATTATTTGTTTTGTGGTCCTGGGATGGCTCCAGGGCCTGTACGCGCAGCACCGGGCCATCCCCCACAGCCTGCATTTGTGGACCTCTGGGTCATCCACTTGGTATATTTGGAATAAAGTTGAACGCAATCAGCTGAATCTTTGGGAAGAGAACTGCAGTTGAGAGGGACCACCGTATAGCCACTGCTCTTGTCGCTGGGGACACTGGTGACTAGGACAGTCCCCACCATGGTGAGTTGCTCACGGGCTGGCRTAGAGAAGACTGGGATGCTGCAGAGCCCAGGCACTTAGTGCAGCCACCACACACTGGGGACAGGGACCACGTGTCCCCTGCTCTGTGCTCTCCTGCCAAGCCTACAGAGCCTCTGCCCCTCCCACAAAACAGGGGCCCAGGGCTGAGCCTCAGAGTCCATCTCAGTTCAGGGTACACCTCTGGGGGTCCTGAGGTCTCCGAGACGCGTCTGAGCCTGTCCCTGCTCCAGGAAGCTCCCAGTGAGCCCGGCAGAGCCAGTGAGTGTGCAGGTCACCGTGTGACAGACCAAGGGGTCGCCAGGACTGGTGTCTTTCTTTGGCTTGCAGATGGGCTCCCCGGGTCCTCACAGGTCCCGCCTCTGTGCGCGTGTCTTCACTCTCCATTGTGACACGACACGGTCATGTTGGGTCTGGACTCACCCGAATGACCACCAGATACAGGCACATGGTGCAAATGCTCGAACGGGCAGGGGACTCGTCCAGCCCGTCAGAGGGCGGCAGACAGCGGCAGCCAYCCTGGGTGCTTTTAAAAGCATGAACTACAGGGGAACAGACGCGGCGCCCGGGGCCGTCCCCTGGGTTTCACTGAAGGCAGGCCTTGCGGCCCCTGACTCCCGCTGAGCCAGGTGACCCTGCAAGTGTGGGGACGGAGCTCAGGTMGGCAGAGGCCATTGGCACAGAGGGTGGCGTGTGCTGATCCCAGGAGGTGACCACCCAKCACAGCGCCCACGGCCAGCAAGATGGGGACCTGGCAGCAGGGGCCAGAACAGMGAAGAGGCCAGAACTTTCTGCCCTTGGGGAGCGCAGGGGCTGGAAGTGTCCAGGCAGGACAGGATCCATGAGTCCTTAACTGGTTCTCCACTGGTGGTGGCCACCTTTTCCCCATGCCCCCCACTGGCCTGATGGCCTCACATATGCATGTAGGGCCACAGGGAGCCGATGTGGGCCCCCGAGACTCTGGGTCAGTGTCCATCTGCTCTAGGACAGAGAGGGCAGTGTGGACACTCGGCCAGTGCTGTCATTTCTGCTGGCATCTTAGCCATGTGGTTAGGGGGTGCTTGATAGGGAGAGAGGAATGGGGGCCAGGACATAGGGGAAAGAATCCAGGYTGTGGCCAGCAATGATGACTGCAGGGCAGGACAGCTTGCCTGAGTGACCYCAGCCTCCTGCTGCCCCCACATCCACCCCTGTTGTCCTCAGGCACGCCCTTGGCACTGAAGCAGCTCCCGAAGCCCTCCACGTCCCTCCGTGGCTTCCTGTATGAGTTCTGTGTGGGCCTGTCCCTGGGCGCCCACCCAGCCATTGTGGCTGCCTATGGCATCGGCATCGAGTCAGCCCACTCCTACAGCTTCCTGACGGAGCCCATTCTGCACGGGGACCTCATCACCTTCATCGAGCCCAAGGTGGGTAGGCGGCCCTGAGCATGCCTTCAAGGGCCCACTAGGCCTCACAGGAATACCCTGGATCCCAGAAATCCCATTCCCTGCCTGGAGCCTCACTGGACCTTACCCAGCCCCCGGGCACCCTCCACATGCCAACAGGATTTCTGGGTTGATGGCCTCTGTGTCTTCACAGAACCTGCGCTCCACAGTCCTCACAAGGTCGCCCTTGGCCCACTGTGGCTGGCAGGCTTCCCAGCTGCCACTTAGACCCAACTAGGATAAGTGCCCCAGTGGGACACAGGAAGCCACACAGGCCTCAGAAGTTCAGCCGAGACTCAGAGCGTCACAGGCCTCTCCAGCTCACACCAGGTCACACTAGTCCTCTCCAACTCACATCAGCTCACACCAGGTCACACTAGGCCTCTCCAGCTCCCATCAGGCCTCACCAGGCCTCTCCAGCTCMTACTAGGCCTCACCAGCTCACATTAGGCCTCTCCAGCTCACACTAGGCCTTATCAGGTCACACTAGACTTCTCCAGCTCACACCAGGCCTCACCAGTTCATACCAGGTCTCTCCAGCTCACACCAGGCCTCACCAGGCCTCACCAGCTCACACTAGTCCTCATCAGCTCACACTAGACCTCTCCAGCTCACACCAGGCCTCATCAGTTCATACCAGG